GTACGTGTCGTACAAACACCCACCGAGGCAGACGCAAATGTTCGCGTGCACACCGGTGGGGTTGGTTTGCGGGATGTCCTGGCCAGCCCTCCGGATCAGCCCGTGGGAATAAACAACAGGATCTGCCTCATTCTGGATCGGCCACCTTAGGAACATTAGCGGAATAAAAAGTATATCTTTTGTATGCTCCCTGTCGAGGCACTGCGGCTGTCACGAAACTGAAGAAATGGGGAAGAGTAGGGCTCCAAGCTCCCGGCGGTGTTGCCACCTCAGAGACCAGCCGTTGCTTAGACACAAAGACCCAGAAGTTGAAGGAACCTCTGGTGGCATGAGAGGAGACACCAGGCGCGAGCGCCACTGGCGGACCTGAGCCTTGGGAGGGGTGTGAAATGCTGAAGCCCCTGAGCATGAGACCTCTTTGCCCGAGGACCCTGGGGGTCTAGATCCGCCATGGGAGGCCTGGCGTTTTGCTTTAGCACTGGGACAGCTTTCCTTGCGGGAGCTTCTGGGTCCTGGCGGCTGTGCCTGGGCATCCGCTCCAGGTCGGAGGGAGGGGGGGGCTAGGCTTCATCCTATGATGCCACCAGGAAAGAGATCACCACCACCACCTTGGACGGCTCCACTTAGTAGTCCAGGTTGCACTCTTTGTTTGCCCCGGGTGATCATGCTCTTGAGTTATGCAGCTGGTTCCACTCGGTCCATCTTTTTAGCACGATGCCCTGTTTGGAGGCATGCTGCCTTGTCGATGTTGCATGGAGCCGTCGTGATTAATATCCATTACCTCCTTGCATAGATTTGCCTAATCCCATTTCAAAGCGAGCAACCTTCAGTGACATCTTGTGGCAGCAAATTCCATAAATTAATTAGGTACTGAGTGATGAAGTACTTTCTATTGTCTGCCCTGAAATTACCTCCAGTTGCTTTCATCTAGTGTGGGCACTCTAATGAATAGGAAATAAAGAGTCTTATTACAGCTTTATGGCTCCTGGGTCATCAAGAGTTGTCCTATACTGTATCTCGCAGGCCGATCTTTCCACCAGTTCCACGTACGGCATTGAGAAATTTCTCATCCTGCGGAGAAGGAGAGCTGGAGAACCAAACGCTAATTCTTAACTGCCAAGAGTTTTCCAGGGAGGTACACATAGATGGATGGATGCCTACTTCCGGGTTAAGTGTGTAGGAGTGCATCCTTAAAGCCTTGGATTGGAACATTGCATAGCAGAGGGTCATGGGTTGCCAGGGATAAAATAAAAGTATTGCTGCCGTAGACTCTTCTTTGGCTGTCTCTCTGTCTTGATCTGACTAATAAAAGAGTAAGAGCCCTGCGCGTTGGCAGGGATCCAGAGAGTCTAAAACACCGAGATCAGCACGCCCTCGGTGGCATTCTCTTGAGTAGACAGTTAATCTGGATTCCCTCAGGGCTCCTATTTCTTAGGTCTGCCTCGAGAATCAGGGATCTTGGTACAGTATACTTTGAGAGGAACTGTTTTTCAGGTGACTAGATGAGCACGCCAGACAGCCTGTAAGGAGTCTTTGAAAGCAGAGAGAGAGAGAGAGGAAATTATCCTTAGTAGGGAAACCGAGAGAGTGAGTGGCTTGCTGAGTAGCTTCTGACTGATGTCCCCTATGGGGGCAAGGTCATCTAAATTTTGTGCTGGGGAAAATGGATTCTGAGATCTGTAAATAAAGACACTTAACGTCACTGATTCTGCTTTTCTACCGTGCACCATTCTGCACTGTGCAATTAGTACGTCAGTAGTTTGGCCAGCACTTAGAATTCTCTGTGAGGAAGCTCTCCCACCGTCTTCTCTGAACCCCAGGATGCCAGAGCAGGTAATTCCAGCTATCTTACAAAACTGCTATAACTGCGTCACATAGACACGCTCTTAGTCTGCGTAAAATCTTACTGCAGCAAGGAGCACGAGATTATGTTGTAGAGCATTAAACCATGAACTTTGGAAATCTGTGAGCATTTTGGCAATGGGCTAGGATGGGAGGCATCGTCTCTTGCCCGTTCGTTTTCCAAGAAAGGGCTGAACACGTGCTTTTTCAGGATGCTTTATGACCAGGAAATCCTCTCTCTGAGAAGAGGATGCTGGCTTAGTCCTAGATGCTTCCCAGGCTTCCTTCCCCATCCTTAGGATTCTTCATGGCTCAGCAGAAGTCCTGCAAGCCTGAAGGATCTCATCTCTCTGAACATCAGATCCGTAGCCTGTGTTGTCTTCAGTCTAAGACTGTTAGAAAACCAGTGGGAGCAGTACTGTTCTGCTGGGGGAGCACACTCTTTAGAAGACGGGCCCTTAATTAAAGGGAGCAGTGTAACTAGTGGATGACACTGGTGTCCTGCTGAGGATGTGATGATTCTTCCAGCACCTGGCTCATCTTGTAAAGATAAGCGTGCAAAATACAAGTTTTTCCAGGGCAAATGCTTAAGGCTACATAGCAGTTCTCCCTCGCCTCCTCTCTCTCTCTCTTTCTCAGACTGTCCTTTGTTTTGTCCAGCTGCTCCTTTGTTCAGTAAAACCAAGGTTATGCAAACATTTGTATTTGCAAGCAAAGCATCTCTCCCCCCATTCCTCTTTCCTGTCCCAGTAGGTCTGGCTGGATAGCTCAGTGATAGCCCAGCCTGTGTGGCCTTGGGCAAGCTGCCCTAAGCCTAATCTAAGAAGGGACTGGCAAACCTGAGTATTTTTTAACCTACAAAATCCTGAAAAGGATCGCCATAAGTCAGAATCAACTGGACAACACGCAATTACTCAGGAAGACGAAGTGTATGGTCTGAGCAGGGCTTCCAGCTACCTTAATAACCTGCCCCAGCACTCACCTCCTTTGCCGAAGCCTCCTCCCCCACATCAATAGAAACGGGAACCTGGAAAAGTCACTGGTTTGAACTACAACTCTCAGAAAATCCCAGACTGGGACTACATCTCCCAGTGTCCATGCTGGCTGCAGGATTCTGGTAAGTGTTGTTCAAATAAGTACCTTTTCCACGTTCTGGAAGTAAGGCAGGTACCGACTGAAGAGCCGGCCTTTTCATTGGTGGCAAGGTCCTGATGGAAACACTCCCACAAAAAGCATGCCTTCTGCCTATATTACGATCTCAGGTGAAGATATTCTTATTCCCTCTGGCATCTTAATGAGTTTATACTTCATTAAGCACCAGCCGTTTTAATGAGCATTCCACTCTGCCGCTTTAATGTGTCTTCATTTGTTTTACTGTTCTACTGTGGTCGTTTTTTCCTCCCTTTTTTAATATTTTAGAAATGTCTTAATCTTACAAATGGTCCTAGGATGCATTTCATGAAGGGTGATACACGCATACCCTGAACGAATAAATGAATAAAACTGGGACTTCACACATTGCAAAACACCGTTAGTGTTTTGTGTGTGTGTGTGTTTTTAAACGAACCAGCTGGGAAAGCTAGAAGTTGTGTGAAACTTCCACGCCAACTGCTGACATGTGATGCGTTCAGCAAATAACCTGCCTGTAGTAAGAATCCTGTTCCTGTAGTAAATGACGCATTGCCAAGTCGAAGGGTTGCACACGATGCTGTTAAACATTTACACATTGCTCAGAAAGACAGGTGGTGTGAACACGCCCTCAGCAGAAAAGCTGCCCCTTCTGAAGGCGAGGAACACATGAAGAATACGAGCAGCGAGAGCTTTTCCTCACGCGGGGAATGTTGCTTTTTTGGGGATTGTAATTCCCAGTGTCGTTTGCACCCCCGCCCCCACGTCTCCTGGCCTATTCAGGAATTAAGCATCAAAAATGTTTTTTATTTATTACCCTCAAAGATCTGCCACAAAAGTCTTCTTTATTTAAAAAAGGGGAGGAATTCCTGAATATTGGACATGTAGGGGAGTTGGAGGATGACTGAGAGCTGGGAAAAATTACTCTTAGAATCTTCCATTCTGCTTGGAGGATTCTGGGAGTGGTCGTCCAAACGCACACATTTCCCCCCCCTGCCCACAGCTGCATTTCCATCCTGTACGGCTTGGACTTCAGACAGACGAAGTTGGCTTCTGCATCTGCTCCAGGGATCTTCGATGCTCAGCTTTAGATGCCAACCATGCCACTAATGGACCAAGGGGGAACGGGTGCCACTCTGTGCCGTTCGGAGCACAGAGCGCTGTTTTAATTAAACTGGTCTCCTGCTTGAGGGTTGAATGTAGAACATGCACCTCACCACTCTGGTTTTAAGTCAAGTCGGGAAGTCTCGAAGATGCCAGGCTTATGCTGGAGATAGGAAAGAGCAACCTGTTGACCCAGACATTGTTGGTCCACATGTTGCTGCTTCCAGAGGTTCTTCACCACGCAGAAGCAGGATGCACCCGGGGTGCGGATACAGTCATGGGGCAGAATCTGAAGCCGAGAGCAGGTGAGGGTTTGAATGTTGGCCAACAAATTAGCAGCGGCTTTGCTGCAAGCTAGTAACTTTTGCCATGTGTGGCGCAATCTGCCCAAGATGGCTTTGATGCCTGGGAGGAAAATCTAAATGCTTCTTTTCTCTCCCTTGCTTATTAATGTGAAGCAAAATCTGGGCCATATTAAGACATGCTAGAGACCTGCATTGTGTCAAGTTTAGGGGGATTCATACCATTCGCAAGGGATGGGTATTACCCTAGCCGTTAAGTATTGCTTTAAACGTGGCCATTCTTTTGGTGTTTAGCGGCATTTCATAATGCACAAGATGGTCAACTGTTGCTTTTACTCATGTGTAAATCTGGCCATGGGGACAAGCCGATGCTTCGAGAAGCTGGGAACCTGATAACAGATGGCAGAAGAGGGACAGGTGGGCTTGTGGCGTTTTGGCACCTGAAACCAGCCAACAAATCTTGCGCGTTAAGAAGAAAACACATCGTTGAAACAATCCACGATGTTCGCGGTCCTAAGACTCTGCCAGCTTCCCAGCAGAGCAGGCCACAGGCAGTTGGTGAAGCGGGAGAGGGACAAGACAGGGCTTGGGAGGCTAATGCTCTCTTTCTCCCTTTCCCCCCAGGCAGCTGCGGAAAAACCTGAGCCTGTGTTTCATTGCAAAGCTGTTGGGAAAGACACAAATGGCCGCGAGGCGCTGGCAAGAAGAAACCCAGGTTCGTGGACAAGGGGGGACATGGGAGGAAGGGGAAACTGGTTTCAATCCCATTGGGATCAAGGGACGTTTTGGGGCTGTGGTGTGTGCACAAGAAACATTGGGGGGGCTACATGCATTTTGGAGGATACCCCTCCCAATCAAGCGCTGGAATGCAGCTTCCAGTATCAGGATGGCTCTGGGTCCTCCTTTAGAGAGGACAGTCCTCTACCTGTAGGCCTGCCAGAGGACAGCCCCCTTTGTAAAGGTGTCTTCTGTTCCAAGGACTCTCCAGTCCACCTCTGATTTGAAGGTGAACAGCAATATCCCGTTAATGCCGAGTGCAGCTTAAGACTCTGCCAGTAAGCCGTCCTGCCGGCACCATTCTGCAAGCCAGACGTACTTCCAGGGAAACAGACATGGGCTGGCAGGGGAGGTTATTGGAAAGAGCCCAGCCACTTGTGTAACGGGTTGTTGCACAAGCAGAGCAAACAAAAGGATTCTGAGCCAAAGGATGATAAGGAAGGAAGATCAGGGACTTTAAAGCAATCCATCCACACTTAGGTCCCCGACAGCAGACTCCGCCTGGGCTCAGCTCCAGTGGGTACCCATAAAATCATTTCTACTTTTGCATATAAATTGCCAGATGTGATATTATGCAAAAGCTGTCTTTTTTTTTCCTTTTCTTTTTTTTGGTGATCTCCTGGAGGCTGTTCCACCTGATATGTTTGTCTCCTGCATTGGAAAAAAGCAACTCCTTCAGGAATTCCCACAAGGGTTCCCCTGAGATATTTGGCAAATGTCCTTTCCTCCGATAGTGTTTCCATCTCTATCTGGGTTCTTCTGTCCTTTTCCGGAGTAGAAGAAGAGGAGAGAGAGAAGAAAGTCCCCTCGCACAGCGGCTTCTTCCAAGGGGGACATGCCATGTGCGACCGAATTCATCTTCTTCCTGGCTTTGATTTCCCCCCCCTTTGATCATGGTGCCAAAAACCTTGCTCATGCTATTTGCATCTGGGGCTAAGGCTGGTGGGGAGCCTGCAGAGGAAAGCTGGTGGATGGCCAAACCAAGCCTCCACAAGATGGTGGGTCTCTGAAAAGGCTCGCTGGAAACGAGCTTCTGCCAGCCTTGACGTGCCGCCAGCGTTCCTGCATGGACGGACGCCTTCATTGGAGTGGGAAAGTTCATTTTTCAAACTACAACTCTGTACTGGCTGGGAGGCTCTGGGAGTTGTAGCCGAAAACAACACACCCGTTTCTAAGCACTCCATATGGGCAAGAACGCACAATGGTGTGACTTGAGCAGAAAGAGCTATCAGGGACTTCCTCCCTTAATGGGTGGAGAGATTCCGCTTGCAACAACAACATGCCATCAAGTCAGTTCTGACTTATGGTGACCCTTTTCAGGGTTTTTCTTCTTCTGGGGGCTGCAAATATTTAGTGAAGATATTCCAATGAAATTTGGAATTGACAAATTTGCAGCTCTGTCTATACATCATGGTAAGATCCCAAAATTAGATGGAATAGAGTTAAAAATTGCAATATTATTACATTACTCTCAAGTGATGAAAATTATAAATACAGTGGTGCCTTGCTTAACGACGATAATCCTTTCCAGGAAAATCGCCGTTAAGCGAAAACATCGTAAAGCAAAAATTAAAAACCCTATTGAAATGCATTGAAACCCGTTCAATGCGTTCCAATGGGGTAAAAACTCACCATCCAGCAAAAATCCTCCATACGGCGGCCATTTTCGCTGCCCGTATAGCGAGGAATCCGTCCCTAAACATAGCGGGGAGCCACTTTAATCACCCAGCGGCCATTTTTAAACCACCGATCAGCTGTTCGAAAAACATCATTTTGCAAAGAATCGGTTCCCGAAGCAGGCTGTGAACACAGCCAAACAGCCCAAAAAACCTACAACCACCATTTAACAGATACTTAGGTTTTTGGTTGAAACTTGTATCTGTAATATAATACTAGTCAATGTTTTTATAATTTTGATTGACTGTGTCTAGTATTTTTGAATAGTAATAATGAGCCTTTTAATTAAGCCCACACATTAATTAAGTCCTCACATTGGATGCAGAAAGGTCAAAGGCTACTTACGGTGTTCACAAGCCCTGATCCTTCCAGGCTTGTTAAAATCACAGGGGAGAATGTCTTATTCCCCAGAGATAGTGGTGCAGCCCAGTAATTAAATCGGACTTAAGAGTCTTAACAGGGTCACACCATTCACTCTCCATGTGTATCAGAATTTGGAAAAGTTCCTTTTTTGTGTGTGTGGTCTATAAGTTCTGCATGTGGGCAAAAATGCATAATGCATAATTCATGCATGCACGGAGAGGATCTGGATGTGATCTGTTACATTATGTGGCAGGGTTATTAGCAGCAATCAAAGCCAGGGGTTGGCATTCCTTTCCCCTTCATTAATTTATTTATGAAAATAGCACTGCTTGGCCCTTGTAGAGTTACTTTAGGTTTTCAAAGTGCTTCACAGACTTTATCTCGCTCATTTTTGCGACAGATTCTTATCCCTTATCTAGCAGATACAAGATAGTGGTGGAATATTGGGTTGCTTAAGGCAACCTCTTGTGTTATCGTGGCAGAGAGACAAGGAACGATCTTAGCATCAAACTAGACAATACAGATAGCACGTCATTAGACTCTGGAAGAAGGTTAGTGTTCCACCAACACGATTTTCTCAGAGCTTTGTGCCTGAGCCATCAGACTTGCAAAGGAAGCTTTTGTTTGCCCTTCCATGGCCAATCACAAAGCAAGCCAAGCTGTGGTGCAAAATACAGAAGCTGATGACAGACATCTTTCAACAGTTTTGGAATTGCCGCTTCTAGTGACATGCTACCGGTATCGTGTAGCTTGACTCTCGTGTGCAGCTCAGTCTCTTCCTCGCTGCTCTACATTGTGGAGTCAAATGTCGGATTTGCGCCAGATGAGTAGTTAGTTTTCCAGAATAAATTAAGGAGGAGTTATGGTCTGCCCCCAGAATAAACTGCTGGGAAGTACGTACTCCGTTGCCCAAGACTTCATTTTTCCCCCCACTCTTCTTCACTTATTGGTTACGTATCCTGACTTTCTCCCACTGAGATCCTCACATCGGCCCCGTGTGGTAAGCAGGCTAAGAGAGAACATAGGGCTCACAACCGCTAAGTAAGCTTCGTGGGTTTTCCAAATGTGTTCCTGATGCTTAAGGAGGGAGGTTTTTATTTTATTTTATTGAAACCACCACGCGTCACCCGTTCCCACGTTTCAGCCCATCTCTGTATCTTAGGGAAGGGCAGCCGGCAGCCCAGCCGCTCCGTCCTGCCCCTGGACCCTTCCTTCCCTTCCCATTTGCCTCATTGCCACCCCACCCCAACCAGATCGGTATCTCAGTGGCGTAGACGTCAGGCGTCTCCTACCCATGCCTCTTCCCGGTTGGGTAGGTAGTGAGAAGCTCCACCAGAGTCTCCCACCTCTTAGGGTTACCAGTTGTCCATTCTGTCATCGTGGCTCCTGGGGAGGAAGGAGAAGAAGAGATGTCTCAGATGGATGGGTGGGGATGGTGGATGGCCACCAATACTTCTGTTGCTGGACACCAGAGCAAAGAAATATTTTGGAGGTCAAAGGACATCTCTTAGCTGCCAGATATGGGGGGGGGAGAGGGGCACAAGCTGGAAATTGCTGCTGGGGCTAAAAGCCTGAGGTGGGCAGAACCAGCGCCGGGAACAGGACACCCATTTTTCACTTCTCACCACAGTGTCACCTCCCTTCCTTCTTCCTTCCCTTGGTCCTTAGTTGTAGAACTGGGCAAATGACACTTTCTCCCTAACACTATGCGGGACTGTGATTTTGGGATGCACTGGTAGCACACAGACAAGATGAATCCTCCCACTATCCTCCTCTAATATGAGGTGTCTGGGATTCCACCCCCACCCACCCCCAAATTTCATTGCACCCCAGAAGGATGGGCCCAAGAAGGAGACAGCAGGCATTAAATGCTATGTACAGTATTTTAATTAGACATGGGGATGAATATCAAAACGAATGATGATATTCGATGAATATCGCTGATTCGTCAGATACTATTCGTTGCTTCGTAGTCTTAAGGGGTCCAGAGACCCCGAGGGATATGAAGCAACGAATATAACCCTTTTATGTTTGTCCCTTGGTCTGTCGGGCTTTCCCGTCTTCCTATGCCCAAGCGGGCATAGAAAGAGAAGGGAAAGGAGACCCCAGTGATCCCCCCACCTCTGCTGCCTTTGCAAAGTCAGTGGGGCTGGGGGATGGCTTTGGTCCTCCTTCCCTCCTGTTCCTGTGCCTAGGAAGTCTGTGGCGGCTGGGGCTTCTTCTTCTTCTTTTTTTAAAAGATAACTCCATGGGTTTTCTTTAAAAAAAAAAAAAAGACCCGACAAGCCAATGAAATACCGTATTTTTCGCACCATAAGACGCACTTTCCCCCCACAAAACAGGGGGGTGGAAAGTCTGTGCGTCTTATGGAGCGAAGAAAACAGATTATATTTTCCTGTTTTCTTCTCCTAAAAAATTGGTGCGTCTTATGGAGCGAAAAATACGGGTAATTTGTGGTTTGTTGGGCCATCGAAGGGGGCAATTTGTGGGTTGTCAACTTTGACGACCTACGAACCAATGGTGCTTCATCCCCATCTCTAATTTTAATCCTTCTAATAGTAATTGTTTTTCCAGCGCATAAGTTATTGTCTTCTCAATTCTATTCTTTTTCAATACTGTGAGTCGCCTTGAGTCCCCTTCATTGGGAAAAAGGTGGCCAATAAATAAACAAACAAACAAACATCCCAGGACTGGAGTCCCCCCCCACCTCCTGCTGCAAGCCAGAGACTTCGAAGACCCATCTTCCACTGCAAGGGAATGAGTGGTGGGAGAGCTCAGTGGTTTAAGTGTCTGGCTGCGGAGTCGGAATTTGGGAGCTCAATCCCCCCACTACGCTTTGTGGGCAGGGGTTGGACTTGATGATCCATAGGGTCCCTTCTGGCTCTGCCGTTTGATGGT